GACGAGGCGATGGTCGGTCCACCCGTCAGCACCCGCGATCGCCTTCGTCACCAGCACGTCCCGCTGATCTCGCCTCCGGACGAGGACATAGTCCAGCAGGTGCCACTGGCGCGACCGGGGATGCCTCCAGGTGGCCTTCTCTTGCTCCGGCAGGCAGAAGAAGGTGTTCGTCCGGATGAGGCGGTGTTCTGCGCAGGTACGGAGCAGCAGCAGTCCGTTGTCATTTGAGCCGCGGAGACCGTGGGGATCCAGCACTCCTCTACAGGCAGTGTGGTCTGTGCCGACGCGGGCGTTAAATTCGCCAAGGACAACCAACTTGTCCGCCATCGGCACAGTCGCCAAGAGGGCGTGCAGGGACTCGTAGAATTTGTCTATTGCGGAGGCTTCGGGGCTGCTTATCGGCAAAGCGTAGGCACTGATGATGTTGGCGAATTTGCCCCCCGGATGAGAGGCAGACGGAGGCTCATCAGACGATCGCTGATGCACTGCGGCAGACAGGGAAGTCGTCCCACGATGTCGTTCCGGATGGCGAAGGCGACACCCGCGTCTAGTCGCTCTGATTTGGGCCGACCACTCCAGAAGAAGTTGCAGCCGACACCCACCTCCTCCAGTTGGCCTTGTTCGGAGAATCGGGTCTCGCTGAGTGCGGCGATGTCCACCTTGTAGGGCGCCAGTTCCCGGGCCACTAGCGCTGTCCTCCGTTCCGGTCGGTTGCTCCTCGGATTGTCTAAAAGGGAACGAACATTCCAGGCTGCCAGAGTGAGCGGACTCACCCTGCCAGTCTGGTGACAACGCGTGGGGCGACGGGAAGGAGGTGAAGAATAAGGTGACGAAGGAGTAGAATAGGCAGAGGAAGAGGAAGAGGGGGTAGGATGAGGAGAATGAGTATGGTTGTTGTTGTTGTTATTGGTATTGTTGTTGTTTCGATTTTGATTGTTTCGACCATGTTTAGACGTCTGCGGCCCTGGCTAGCCTGAAGACGGCGTGACGCCCAGCAAAGTTTAGGCCACCTTTTCTAGGCCCTTCCCCTCGTGGGAGCTGGCAGTGTCACCCCTGAATAGGGCTGCCATTTGCCGTTGTGGCACGGCCGAACGCCACTATGGGGCCACGACTTCGGGTTGTAGTGGAGAGCGACTCGAATGCGCCGTAAGCCGCGGTCTCCGACGGCGTAGGTGGACGCGTCAAGGCGATGTCGATGTGGAGATCCATCCCGTCACCGGCTGTCCAGCGGCGTGCAGAGACGAACCACGTCAAGACGGTGCTGAGGCAAGGTTCCATCCGAACTTTGATCCAGCGGAATCCGCAAACCCTGTGCACACGGCACAGCGCACTAAACCTAACAATGACAGTTCGACCATCGATTTCGATGATGTCCACCGTGTGCCACACAGCAGGTTGGGGCAGGGACGGTGACTTGCGCAGGGGTTCATAGTGCCAGTATACTTGCGTAGCATCTACATACACTCTCTCCACCTCCCTCGCCCGAGCCTGGTGTCAAGACAGAGTCAAGAAGACCGGAGACGAGGAAGGCCGCAGGTGGATGGCTCGGACGGATCCTCACCTTGGCGTTCCACCACACCTCATGGTCCACACAACAATAACCAGGATTTCAACCAACACAACAGAGATTTGGAGGCTGGCACGGCCGAAGCCGCATCTAGGCGTGCCGCCAACGCCTGGCTGGGATCCCACACTGTGGTGGGAGTGCCATAAAGGCCACATTAAAAAGGAGCCATTGCAGCCTGACTCTCAGACCACCACCAGTCAAGGAGGAGGTCCAAGTTACCCCGTCAGTTGGCAACCTTCCAAGCCACGGCTTTTAGCGCACCGTGATAGCATCGAGCGCGTCAGATTGTTTATAGTAAGGAGAAAGTGCGCTGAGTCGTCGACCTCACTCTCCCTTCCCACTCCCACACCCCAGCCCCTGTTCGAGCCGGTCAGCAGACTGGAGTGGGGAGTGGGCGCGGTGGCTGACATGGTCGACTGACCATGCCTGCGCGCGCCACAGCACGACCTGGCCCCCCATACACACACAAACACCAGGATTTCACACAACGGGGGTTGAACGGCGTGTCTGTCACTTGCGTGAGAGGGCCGTGGAAGGTGCTGCTTCAGCCCGTTCCCAGCCCACCAGTCCGCCACTCCACACAGCACACACACACACACAACGCGACGAACTGCGTGAACCGAGAGTGGGCATCAATCAGCAACCTTCCTATCCACGACGCTTGAAGTGTCGGGATAGTCTCGGACTCAAATCACCCGTACAGCCGAAGCCGCGTGGGAACCGAAACGAGATGCACACTTCCCACTTGCGTGGAAGGTGGCAGTTGGTGCATGCGGTGGGTAAGTGTTGATGTGGTGGAGGAGGGTAGGGAGTGTGTGGATGTGTGGTGTGACCGGCAGTTGTCTACCGCAGGTCGTCGTGGATGCGCATGTGGCCGAATAGGCCTATGGGGTGCCTGAAAGTGCGAGGACAGTGTGGACAGTTGAGACGAGCTTGGTGGGTGTAGGTTGGTGCTCCAGGCACTGGTTCGCCAGTCTCTGTGCGATGGATCCGCAAGTGACCGATCAGGCCGATGCGTGAGGTGAGTGTGCGTGGACAGTGTGGGCACGTGAAGTCGGCGGTGTCAGAATCAGCTACAGAGGAGGCGTTGGTGGTGGCGCAGATGGACGGTGCGAGGGTGGTGCTGGGCATGATGGGCGTGGTTGGTGTGTCGGAATTGTGGTCGATTCCGCTCTCATGGATGCGCATGTGGCCGTATAGACTCATGCGATGCGTGAAGGTGCGAGGGCAGTGTGGGCAGTGGAGGCGAGTGCGGTGGGTGTAGGTTGGTGCTTCAGGCACTGATTCGCCAGTCTCTGTGCGATGGATTCGCAAGTGACCGACCAGACCGATGTGTGAGGTGAAGGTGCGGTCGCAGTGAGGACAGGTGTAGTCCTGATTCTCATTGCTGGAGTCAGGAGAGGCGGGGGTGGTGCCGGTTGTTGTGTCGCGGTCGGAGATGTGCGAGACGGCTGCCTGAGCGGCCGCCG